CAAAAATTTTATTATAAAATAAGTAATTAATAACAAATGATATAAATGAAATATTAATCATTTTAAATACCAAATTTTTCATTTAATAGTGAAAAAATTTCTTTTTTCTTAATCAAAATAGCAAAATATTTTTTCATGATATGTAAAGAAGACATAACATACTAATTTTGAATCTATTTGAAATTTTTTTAATGTTTTACATTATAAAATATATTTGTCATTTAGTCGTTTTAAAATGAAAATTAGCGAATAAATAATTAGGAATAATAATTACCATTATTCTAAATTAATTATTTATTATTTTATAAAATATATTGGATATAGAATAATAATATTATATAAAAAATAAAGTTAATAATATTATATAAGAAATAAAGAGAAAATCATATATAAATCATATTAAATATAAATTTAATATAACAAGTTTATATTAAAAAGAGAATAATTTATTGCAAAAATAGAAATTGCGATAATTGCAAATATTTTTAGACATAAATATAGAAATAAAAGTTAAATAAGAGATGGTAATTATAAATTATGCTGAATAAAATTAAAATAAAATTAAAAATATTTAATTAGGATTACCAATGCACCAACGCAAACACAAATAGCAGAAATAATCACGATCGTTTTCATTTTTTTTTTTAAGATATATCGATTTCAAATAAACAAGATTCAAATATTTTTGAAATATATCTAAGGAAAACTGAACAAATATCGAATGCACGAGGTCTTTTTATACTCTAATTTTTACCTTTATATTTCTTCTTCTTATATTTCTATTTTTTTCTCTCTTTCGTGTGATTATTATATGATATTGCATATTTTTATTGACGAAAATCCATTTATATTTCCCAAGTATATATCAAATTATTATGAATTATATAAAAATATCTGAAGATTAAAAATAAATGTTGACTAAAGCGAAAAAAAATATTCAATTAACCTTTTTTTTTATTTGCGGAATATAAAGAGTAAAACGATTATTAAAATAAAGGATACAATTTTTTTTAAATGATGTAATTTGTTTCTTTTTTTCTTTTTCTTTCCAAATTAGTTTTCTATTTAGAATTTAAAATTTTTTTAGAATAATTAAATTAATTATATTTACTATAATATATATAAAATAATTTATATATAATATATATAAAAATAATATTTACTAATGATTAATTTTTTGCTTTTAGTAAAATTTTTCACAAGTATGCAGATTATAATATAGATAATTTTAAACGGACATCGATATCTGATTAAATTAAAATTTAAGAAAGATTCTAAATTTTAATTTCGAATATTTCGAAATATAATAAATTATAAAATAAATTTTCATAAAATGCAAAAACCACAATCTAATAATAGCAACAATTTTTTAAAAATACCTCTATAAATTAAGATAACATCTGGGAGAATATTATTTAAATTCTTATTTTGTACACATATCTGAAAATGATTAAAATCCATTAATTGGTTTATCAACGATTGTTCTTGTTCTTTTATTTACACCGAATATCATTTTACAGTTTTCATTATGCAGTATGGATTTGATTATCTTTTTATATAACAATTTATAAATTGCAATTTATTTAAGATATATGTACATATATAAAATTAAAACATTCATTCAATTTATCTAATTTGTCTTAATTACTTAATTTTATAACAATTTCATTATTCTTCTTCAACTAATTACGAATAAGTGAATAATCTGCTACAACTTATGTAATTATCTCGATTCGAAAATCATCAGTAGCAAATGCAAAAAAAGATGCAAATTCTAAAAATTTTGAAACTTTAATGATATATAGATATGTATTAAATTAAATTATTTCTTTTTTTTATCTAAATTCATTTTAAGGAACAAAATTAATTTATACTATATTCAGTTAATTTTCTATTTTATCTTATAACTTGTAAAAGATAGAGAAAAAATACAAATTTTTTTCTAATGAAGATTCTTATTTGATAAAAAATTAACAAATTGTGTATGTAATTAAAAAAATATTATAAATAGAAAAAAGAGTTATACTTTATTTTTCTATATGAAATTGATAATTTCATTAATTATAATAGTATAAAGAAACAAACATTTTTTTTTTATTATAAATAATATTTCGTTTTATTGCGTATTATTTTGTTCCGCAACAATATGAGAAAATAAATTTTATTTGTATTTATTTTATGTACGGCGCAATAAAAGATTTTCATCATGCGAACATATAATACAAGAAAAAAAAATGCATTTATAAAAAAATCATATCATGAATTTCATTTTCATATTTAAGGAGGAAATAAACGAATGATTGCTTCCTGCAAAAAATATGGGAGGGATTTAATTAATGAAGATTTGTTGATGGTAAAAAATATTAAATTCCTCCAAATCGTATTAATTCGTCTATTGTAAATCTAATTTATATATATGTTTGTTGATTTTATAATAAAGATATAAATAATTGATCTAAATTCAG